TTTTTATTACATTTCTGTCCAAATGAAGGAGTACAGTGGTGCACACCTTAAATCCCAACCTTGGGAGATAGAGGCAGGCAGATCTCTGTGAGTTCCAGGTTAGCCAAGACTATACAGGGAAAGAAGCTGCTAATGATGACTTGAACTCAATGGGAGAGTCATCAGAACCTGTGTGACTTATTTAGAGCTGACCAACCCTATGATAACTTAGTTTGTTTTTCAATCTTTTCCTGTTTTCCCCTGGAAAGAAAAAAAACAGTGCTGTTTCATTCAAACCCGCGCCTCCCACTCACGGTACGGTTTCCTCCCGTACCTCCCATGAGCCTGGGCGAACGCCTGGGGATCTAATAGAGACACATATATAAAGAAATCTGGGTCATCCGTCAAGAGCCGAATGTCAAATTTATTTAGCTTTTGCCAGGTTAATATACTCTTCCCCAGTAAAGAAGATCCCCTCCCAGCTAGCCAGGGCGCGAGCAACCTGGCGCTTGTGTGAGAAATTCCTCCCAAGCAGGGGGTGGTGGACGGAGGGCAGCGACAGACAGTGAGAGAGACCTTGGCGCCATGTGATTCTCCTGGGCAGGTGGGAAATCACCATTTCAAAGGTTTAACAAAGCCTACGGCTAGATGACCAGGCTAAAAGCGGAGCTAGCACAGGAATTAGCAGGAATCTTGGCTAGTTAACATAAACAGTCCTTGCATTTTGCACCTCTAGGAGCAGGGGAGACCCGGGATCCTACACAGTGCTCCATTTTAAACTTTAAATTTGTAAAGGCTGTCTTATTAAAATACAACTAAATGTACACACAAAGAACTGGGCACTTTTCTCTTGGGATAGAGCTAACTGTGCCCTTCGAAGTTTTACTTCTATAACAGCACCATACTCAGGTTTGGTCTCCCTAACTTCATATTTTGTAGGCACATTGTAGGCTAACCAACAGTCTATGCAAACTGACTAAGGCGATCTGACTCAGTATCTTAATGTTTCTATAGCTGTGTAATGTGGGAATAGCTTGCTGGTATAGAGTCCTACCCTTGCCTATTTTTTTTTCTCTAATGAAGTTAATTAGTTTATTTAATATACATGGACATATAATCTGTAGCAGAAGCAAAATTAGAAAAGGTCCCATAAGGGAAGATATCAGAGCAGTCATCCAAGGAGTTCTACTAAACCAGCTCTCAAGCCATCCCTGATGCACTTCTCTGTCTCTTTGTCTGTTGTCTAACCTTTCTCTAAGTTTACTCATGGAGTCTTCAATTACTCCTGAATGGTCCACATAGAAAAACATTCTTTTCTGAGAGCAGTGCATAATACTCCATCTTTTAAGAATAACAAATCTAATCCCCTTCTATTCTGGAAAACCACTTCTGAGAGGGAAGTCAATGACTTTTCGAGTTTGGAAATAGATAGTTTTAGAGCCGTCAATTTTTTATGTATGGCTATTTTTAACTTATTAAAGTACTGAGGGGCCTGTATTAGGGCAATGGTACCTGTCCCAAAACCAGCAGCTACCCCAAGGCCCATGATTACTGCTAGTGTCAGAGAAATAGGTTCTTGTCGAAAGTGAGTTGGGCACTTGTCAAACTCATCTTTAAACATGTTAGCTGGATGATAAAAGACCCTAGGTACCAGTTGTACAAGCACGCAGTAATCTTTGGTGTCATTAAAAACCGATATTGACATTCAAGATGTCAGGCCTGTACTACAAGCCCAACATTTATCTAAACTGGGAACCAAGTACCTGGTGTCAGGAGTCTTGGGTCTCTTAAGGGTCTCATTACATAAATGTTTGTAGGCAGCCGGTGGGTTTCCCAGGCATGTCCCAACACCTGCAACCTCAGTAAGAGTCAGGCTATGATTAATCCCTCAAACACAAACATCCTGACTGGTGGTGTTGTTAAAAGCCCCGGATACTGCAATTCATCAAGAGTACCAAGTATGGCCCTTTCCAACAAGACTCAAGATTCCCAACTTGATGCCGCCAGACAAAAATGGCCTCCCCTTCTTGCAGCTGATGTGGCATATGTGAGTCTTCAGCCTTATATACTTCTTTCAGTTGTTCCCAGATCTGACGTCTCACTATTTCAAGGGCCTTTAGGCGGGCAAATAAAGGTCTAGAAAGAATACCATCAGGATTATACACTCCACCCGACTCATTTTTTAAATCTTAATCTGTCACTTTTTTGAAGCAAGATTTAGTTATCTCAATACCATGGTGACTGTGACTGCTATTATTGTCACATAGACCTGTTGCTGGATGTCACAATGTGCAGAGGACAGATACTGGGAGCAACACAAACAGTGACCAAGAAGATGGGCTGTCAGAGTAAAATTCCTCACTGGTGGCCAGCAATACTTTGACTCTTAAGTCCTGAGTGTGTAACAGAAAGATCTCCAATGTGACTGTGTGGATCTGAACTCCGTTCAATGCCATGGTGAGAGAGAGAAAGAAAGAGAAAGAGAGAGCTATTGAATACCTAAGCTTTTAACTGCTGGAAAACAGAGATAAAATTCGATACCTTCTCAAACTCAAAGCTTTCTGATATATAAACTTTCTGAATGAACCTATTCCACCAATAAACAGGGAGCAATTAAAATCTGTCTGCACAGACAGTGTGTCATTTCTACACAGGTCTCTGTTTAGTTGGTGTATGTTTGTCAGCAATATTGCCCCAGTTAAGAAGCATACTTAATATTTTTTTTAGTTTTTTTTTAAACTGGCCATTGTGGAGGCCCAAAAATGTGAGCCTATCCTGCCTTGCCTGAAGTCAGAGAGTTTGAGCTGGTTCAAAGCTGTTGACAACAACTGAAGCTACACACCCTGGCTTAGGGTGTAGTTACTTGGTAGTTTGGATGTTAAGATGGCCCATAGAGGTAGATCCACTCTACCCTGACCAAAGGTCAGAGAATTCAAGCATACTTCTTCTCCTTCTTTGGAAATAGGAGGTTTGATCTACAGCAGTGGCCGCCTCCAGGATACTTGGCCCAGGGTGGTTTCACTGCCTAAACAACAGAATGCTTTTCTCATGAATTACTGTCTTGATGTCTCAAAATATTGAAGCAAGTAGCTGTTCTAGTTGTCCATTGTGCCATGTTAAAGCAGTCTTTTGCTTCACCTCCTTTTTTATTGGTACATAAAAATGTATGGAAAATCAAACACGGGTGTACTCAGAACTCAGTATGTAGCAGGCAGTGATTTTTTTTCTTATCATTATTCCTCCTACCTAACACTTCTAATTCTCACGTCCCTACTCTGGAATGTATGAACCCACCATGGCTAGGACCATGGCAGAAGTTACCCCAAAAATGTGGCTCACAACATATGGCAGTCCAACGTGGTGCAGCTTATGACAGGCCATTAAATAAATTGATTGTAAAAAGACTCAGCCAAACAGTAGTGGTGCATGCTTTTAATCTCATCACTCAGGAGTCAGAGGCAGGCAGATCTCAGGGTTCCAGTCCAGCCTGGTCTTTAGAGCAAGTTCCAGGACATCCAGGGCTACACAGAGAAATCCTGTGTCTTAGTTAAAGTTTCTATTACTGTAAAAATACACCATGGCCACAGCAACTCTTATAAAGGGAAACATTTAATTGGAGTGGCTCTCTCTTGCAGCTTAGAAGTTTAGTCCATTATCGTCATGGCAGGAATCAAGGCATCACGCAGGCAGACATAGTGTTGGAGAAGGAGCCGAAAGTTCTACATCTTGCAGGCAACAGGAAGTGATCTGTCTCACTGGGTGTGGCTTGAGCATATATGAGACCTCAAAGCCCACCTCCAGAGTGATGTACTTCTTCCAACCAGGTCACACCTCTTAATAGTGTCTCTCCCTTTGGAGGCCATTTGTTTTCAAACTACTGCACCTTGTCTCAGACAAAAACAAGCAAGCACACCTTCTATTAAGTGAATTAGCCCTAAACTGTCCTCCATGACCAATATCTCAGATTTATTTACTTATTTATATGTGGCTGGGGTTAATCTAGTTTGGTTTGCTGTACCCCAAGGTGATCTGGAATTTGTTGTGTATGTAAAGATGACAGTGAACTACCATTTCTCCTCACAGGTGCTGGGACTGGAAGTATGCACCACCATGCCTAGTTTATGAGGTGCCCTGGATCTTACCCAGGGCTTCATGCATGCCAGGCAAGCACCCTATCAACTCAGTTGCATCCTCGGTTGTTTCAGTTATTTTTGTGACAGGATCTTGTATGTACCCTGGGCAGCCTGAAACTCACTATCCTCTTAGCCTGTGGGGTGCCAGGTTTAAAGGCATGAGGCTCCATACTCATCCCCTAGGTTTATGCTAACCTTTAGCTTTCCGGAATTATCTCTGTCTTCGCTTTTTCAATTCCACTCATTATGGGGAAACTGAGGCCACTCAGTTCCAAAGACTTCTTGGTGGTGAAGTGGTTAGAAATCAGATAATTACTTATCCTTCCTCCCGGCTTGAGCATCTATAGTTCCAGACACCTGCTACCCATGTAGATCAATGAAGACTCACTAACCAGAGGGCTCAGGGTCAGTGTATTCAAATGTGACCTGAATGAAATCCTGGTAGGAATACAGTGTGGAAAAGAATGAAAGCAGACTATAAGTCTTAATCATTATACTTAACCATTCACATTTATTAGCAGTTGGTAGCAAAAGCATCTCCAGAAAGACCAGGCAAAAGCAAAGGAAAGGAGAATCAGGGAGAAGGCTTTGCTGATGTGAAATGAACTGACATCAGGAAATGTATGCTGTAGAGCAGACCATGTCTGCTGACACGTCATCCTGGGGTAAGAAGATCTCAGAACTGGAAAGTCCTCTCCGCAGCACTTGGGGAGAATGTGGGTCTGAACTTCAGTAAAGTCAGAGATCAGGCAGCAGCATCCGAGCAGGGCTGGAGGCAGGCACCCACAGGGTGGCTCCACACTTGTGGACTGTAGCAATCCTCAGAAGAGCTGTGAGTGTCCCAACAGGAAGATGGGCCCCAAGGAGGCTGGAGTCTCAGCTAGGTTGTCAGGAAGTGGACACGCTGGTGCCCCCTTGGCACACATTTGGAGAAGCTGGTGGACAGCAACCGGGGCCACTGCCGGAAGGTTTGCCTAAACCAGTCACACAGCAAGGGGGCAGGGAAGAAGGAGACGGGCAGCCACTCTGATGGGAAGTGGGTCTACCACAAAACGACCGGCCAGCACATGAAGCTGATTTACTGTTGCTCTTGACACAGCAGGGGGACTGGCAGGTAACCACTGGCTGACAGATGAAGGAGATTGAAGGTGCTGGTGAACAGGGAAGTGGCTGGCAAGAGGAGGGCACACAACAAGTTTGACCGCAAGAACTGAGCATGCAAGTTAATGGCTGGCAGGAGAGAGGCATGCAAGGAGCTGACTGGCAGGACTCGAGAATATAGCAGATAGGTTGGTAATAAACTGACTTGCAGAGCCGACCTTCACCTTTGACGGGGTGATGCGCTCCTCCTTGGCAGCAGGTTGGTTGGCATGAACCAGCCTCACAGCTAGCTGGTAGGCACGGGGTTTCAGCACAGGGAGTTGCTTCCGAGCAGGATGGCTGGCAGGATCCATCATCACAGTGGGCTGATGTGTCACATGCTGACTGGCATGACCCTGATGGATAGGCAGGTCGCTGGCCAGAGCTCTGCTGACAGGGGCTGTTATCGCCGCACGACGTGTGACATCCAGCAGGTTCCAAACAGGAGGGCTGGCATGGGGCAGCTGGAAGAGAAGTCCCACTGGTGTCAGGTGCACAGCAGGCCACGTCTGAACCTATGGGTTGGCAAACAAAACCCACACAGGAAGTCTCTGGAAAGCAGGTAGATGGACAAGAAACAGGTGCAAAGGTAACTGGGACACTGTTGGGTAGTTCGCAGTTTTCTTGATGTGTAACCAGTTGCCACGTCCTACTCTGGCAGGAACTGGGCAGGTGGATAGCATTTCTAATGCTGCCAGCAATGGAGCATGTGGAGATGGTGGGCACAGATGGGACAGTCTTGGGATTTCCGGGCGAGTGGCTGTCTGTCATGGTGTTGCTGCAAGCCTGTCTGGGAAGCTGCACGCTCAGTCTGAGTTTGTAAAAGCATCTTATTCCAAGGGGATTTTATAGTCCTTCCCTGGGGTGTTGGCACTGCCCACAGCATCTTTCCCTGTTATTATTCTTATTCATTTGCATATAAACATCAGATTGTGCTGCAGGAGATGGGGAAGATGCCCCACTTAAAAACAGAAAACATGCCTGCTGAACTGGGAGTTTTCTTTGCCGAAGTTGAATGCACAGATGCCACCGTGGAATGAGCTGTCTCTTTTAAAGGTTGTTCCCCAGCCTCACCAAAGCCTGCTTTTCCTCACTACCCTCTCATCAGCAGGCTTCCTCCAAGCTAAAGCAGCTCTTCCTCCAGGATGCGGTCCTGTGCCATTAGGACCATGGGAAGCACTGATGGCGATACTGAGGGAGAGATGTGATAGCAAAGATGGAGAACAGAAAATGAATCAGTAGACCCCAAGAATATTTCAATGTGCCCCCCCTCTTTAGAATCTTAACTTTCAAATTGCTGCCAACAATTAAGAGCTGTAATAGCATCCATTTACTGCACACTTACCATATACAATCGACCCCTTGGTGGCATATTTTCGTTTATCCTTAGCTAGTAAGTAGACTTGGCATCTCCATTTTAAAAGCAGCAAAAAAAAAAAAAAACCTCAGAGTTAAAATTATGATTAAAGCAAAATTCAAATCCAGAGTGGCCATTCCAAAAAAAAAAATCTCTGCTCAATTGGATCTCCCTGGGAGATGCAGAGAAGAGGACTCATACTATGGGGACTGAGCAGCAGCATTCATGCATCAGGACTGGCCCAAAAGCAGCATGTCTAGGTCCTGGGATGGGGCCATCTCCCATTGCAGTGTGATGCTGACTGACCCAAGTGAGTAGAATGCTTTTCTCTATTTAGTTATACAGCCAAAGTAATCTTTTCATTTGGAAATTTAAAATATAAACATTTAGTCAAGCATGGCAGACCACCCCTCTAATTCTGATGTTTGGGAAGCTGAAGCAGAAGGATTGCTGTGAGTTCAAGCCCAGTGCGGATTGCATGGTGAGTTCCATGTCAGTCTGAACCAGGGTATGAGACACTTCTTAAAAACTTCTGGGGAAGAAAAATAAACCTTCAACTATTTCATGAAGGAGTATCAACTCATAAAACGGAGGTCAGCAACAGAAATACCAGGTCATCTCCATAAAGCCTTTTAAAGGTCAAGCAATCTCTTCCAAGAAGAATTTGTGGTGCTCTCTCTAGACCTGTCTCTTTTTTCCTCTAGACTCAACTGGGTACTGCACCACCAACTGATTCCAGCATCCCACAAAAGTGCACGCCCTGGCCTGGTTCCTGCTGGCGGCAGGCGATGGAATGCAAAGATGATGGTGTGGGATGACAGGCAGGACTAGTCTTGACTTCTGGCTTTGCAGCTTAATCTGTGGAACAGGTTCACTCATTACCCACATCTTCAAAGTGTCGAGACATCGTTAACTCCCTTGATGGCTCTTAGGTTAGCTCAGCTGCATCAGAAGCAGTTGGAATGGCTGAAGATTCTGGAGAGGGCTTGGCAAAGGAGCAGCTGTGAAATCATGTCTTATTGATTCCCTCTTTACCCCTCTTTAAAAGAAGAGAAACCCCTAATGAGAGTCATGCCTGGAAGACATTTACCCTTGTCATTTAAGAGCCCTTCTCCATCACTGTCTTTCCAGTCACATCATGGAGGGCTCCTGAATCGTTGTCTTTCCATGGTGCCATGGACCACTCCTCCATTACTGTCTTTCCGGTGGACTACTCATCCATCACTGGCTTTCCAGTCACAGCATAGATGGCTCCTCCATCACTGCCTTTCCCCAAAGCAGCATGGACAGTTCCTGGCACCTTTCTTTGCACATTTCTCACATTGTCATCTTTAAAACTGCAGGCATCGTGCAGCCCTATAATTCTCATACTCGGGAAACTGAGGAATATGTTTTATTCTAGAGTGTGTTTACCCCAAATTTCTTCATTCTCCCAAGAGAAATGCATTTAGTCTCACCAAATAAGTCAACCCAACTAGAAAATATAAAAATATTGGAAAAATAACAAGAATTTTAATTTGAAAATGAAATTCTGTACAGAAACACACCAGTTACACTGGTAGAAAAATGGAGCTTTTATTTATTTTTCCTCTAAGTGATTCTGCTTTTCTTTCCTTTCCTTTAAAAAAATACCCCAATTGAGAAATTTTTATTTTCAATCAACTTAATGTGATTGAGGCACTGAAGACATCTACAATGCCATTCAAAGTCATTTCATGACTACATCAAGAAATACAACGAGAGGGCTAGAGAGAAGACTCAGTGTTTAAGAGTGCTGGCTACACAACCATAAGGACCAGAGCTCAGATGCCACATTAAAAGTTAGGCATGGCTATGGGTGCCCCGACCTGGTTAGAGTCTGAGACAGAAGAACTGCTAGTATTCGTTGGTCACCAGCCCAGCTTCAGTGAAAGTCCCTGTGTTAAGAAAATAAGTCAGAGAGTAATGGAGTGGGACAAGTGAAATCCTCTCCTGGCTGTAGCGCACACTCAAACCTGCACACACACATGCATGTACACCACGTACAATCTCTGTCTCTCTCTCTTTCTGTCTCTCTCTCCATCTCATATAGTGATCAATCATAATTTTTAAAAAACAGAAATTGAGCCTAAATTTAAGTATGTGTGTGTGTGTGTGTGTGTGTGTGTGTATGGATAGATTGTTTTATACTTTAGAAACACATATGATCATCTAGGGATTATTTAAATCAATTAGCATCATTACTAGGGTCCATCAGTGTTATTGCATATAGCTATCTTCCATTTATTTTCACTGAAATATAATAGTTCATTGTGTTGATTAAACCACATTTTATTTGTCTCTTCGTTAGCACTTGGCTTGTTCAGCCTTCAGATGTTTCATCATACACATAGAAGAGAAACGGGGCAAGGAGAAATCTCACCTTGAAGATTAATGGTGACTTACATGAAACACTTAAGTTTTGTGCCTAGCACAGAGAATGAAAACCCTGCTCTTCTGACTTTGGAAGGAGAGAAATTAAATCCTAATGTCCTGTTATGACAGTAACTCTACCACCCATGTGCAGAAAAGTCTTGCTATTGACTTTCTCCCTCTGACATCATCTAATCTACTAATTCTCCAATGGCTGATTCTATGACTCTCTAGGGCTGGCTGGCAACACCTGACTGGTAAAGATCAGAAATCGTGCTTAATGATATTCAAGACTCCTCAACAAATGACTATCCCACCCAAATGCAAAGAGTGACAAAGCTAAGAAGCCCTGGTCTGTCCTCAGAAGCCTATGATGGTTCAAGTTAGACCTCAAGGACAGGAGACCACCCTCCATTCTGTGTGCAAACAATGTAGCTGCTTTGAAGGGACTGTGTGCATGAAAGTGTTGAAGTGACATTTAAATAACAAGTGTCCCTGCTGAGGCAGCAAACTCCACAAGAGCAGGCATGAGGCAGTGAACTCCACAGGAGCAGAAACTGAGCAAGAGACCAAGGCCAGAGCAAGCCTGGGGCAGCAGACCCCACAATAGCAGGTACAGGGGAGCAACTGTTGAGCAAGTGGGCCAGAACCAGAGACCTCTGTTGGTCCGAGAATGAATCTGGGACTTCTGAGTGAGTAGACCTGAGCCAGGACCCCAGCAGGTCCAAGCATGAGTCTGGGACCTCTGAGTAACTAGACCTGAACCAGGATATTTGCATGTCTTGGCATTAGTCTGGGCCCTCTAAGGGAGTAAGCAGGAACCAGAGACCTCTGTGGGTCCAGGCATGAGTCTGGGACCTCTGAGGGAGTAGGCCTGAGGCAGGTCCTCTGCGGGTCTGGGAAAATCCAAATCTGGGACCTCCGAGGGAGTATATCAGAGCCAGAGACCTTTGCAGGACCAACCCCAAGCCAGGGACCTCTGCAAGAGCAGGAGCGGATCCAGACTAGGGACATTTACCCAAACTGGTCTGAGCTGGCATCCTAGGCCAGAGCAGGCCTGAGACAGCAAACTCCCCAGGAGCACTGAGCAATCTCTAGGAACACAGAATGACTAATGGGGTAACTGGAACTGTGGCACTGACTGCACCACGAGGAGAAACCATCTGAGCCTTGGATCCACTGGCACCTGGAAGATTAATCACCAGAGTCACAGACAGCACCAGCTACACCAATTAAAGGAAAAGATGAGTAGACAAGGTAAGAATACATGCAAAACCACAAAGAGCAACACAACACTAGTAAAATCTAGTGACCCTATAACAGCAAGACTTGAACAATCAAATATAGATGAAGCAGAAGAAAATGACCTAAAAAATAATTTCAGGAGAATGATTGAGGCTCTTAAAAAGAAAATGAGAAATTCCCTCAAAGAAATGAAAGAGAAAAGACAAAAAAAATGGAAGACATCAAAAATTCCTTAAAGAAAACCAAGAAAAACAATCAAACATATGAAAGAAACTATTCAAGACTTGAAAACTGAAATAGAGACAATAAAGAAAATACAAGCCAAGGGAATTATAGAAACAGAAATTATGAGAAAATAATCAGGAACCACAAATACAATCATAAACGCAGAATACAAGAGATGGAAGAGAGAATCTCAAGTGCTGAAGATACAATAAAGGAAATATAGGCTCATCAGTCAAAGAAAGCATTAAATCCAACAAAAGTTTAACACAAAATATCCAAGAAATATAAGACACCATAAAAAGACCAAACCTAAGAATAATAGGTATAGAAGGAGAAAAAACTCAACTCAAAAGCACAGAAAATATATTTAACAAAATCATAGAAGAAAACATTCCCAACCTAAAAAAGATATGCCTATGAAGATACAACAAACATACAGAACACAAAATAGACTGGATCAAAAACCAAAGTCCTCTCGCCAAATAATAATCAGAACAATAAACATACAGAATAAAGAAATAATATTAAGAGCTGCAAAGGAAAAAGGCTAAGT